TACACTGATTTGAACAAAAAAAACAGAAATTTGATAAAGTTCCTGAATTCTAAAAATAGTGACAATAGTTTCAAAAATGTTTTTTTAAGAAGTTTGACATTCTAGAAAACAAATTCATGACTCTGGGCTCCGGGGACCCAAGAAAGATTCAAACTCTGGGGTGTGCTCGCGGTGCCTCGCCTCTCCCTACCCGCTACCTCCTACTTCACGGAGAAGCTTCCTCGTGCACGAGCCGTGGAAGAGAAGCAAAGAACACGGCAGTTTACCTAGATTCGGGCCACCTTGCGATGTAAGACCCTACTAATGCTTTGTGGTTGGATTGCCTTGCGAGGGAGGATGAATATGAGAGTACAAGGCTTGTTCTTGCTTTCTGGGGGTCGCCCCTCTCTATGGTGGTGCTCTGCTTATCTTATACCAGCCCCGGTCCTCTTCCCCTGAAACCCTAGGCGGGAAGGGTTGCCACAACGTCCGAATTCGAAGGGGGGCATGAGTACAACTTATCTTGACGAAATGTGGTCTTCGCGTACCAAAGCTCCCTGCAATGACGCGCTGGTGGGCTCAATGCTGACCTCTATCTCGACAAGGCTGCTGTCCTGGTCTTCTAGCACCAAAGAGACAACCTATGGGGGGTTGCTTTGGGAACCCACATGCTGGCCCTGCCTCGTTAGCACCAAAAAGGAAAACCTCCTCATACGCGCCCGCTGGCGCGGCTCCTGGCGACACTGTTGTGGCTCGCGTCACCCACGTGCAGCGCGAGGCGGTCATGGCGTGTCTAGACATATCCGCCCTGCGAGGGGCCTCGGGAGGCAGCTCTGGGAGGCTGCCCTGCGTGAGGCCCTCGGGAGGCCCTTGGCAACGTGCACCTCGCGAGGGTCCTGCTCGTGAAGCCTTGAAGACGATTGTGCTGGGCCCATGGCACGCTCGTGTCTTGGTACGCAGGCGGACGGGGCCTGGGTACCCCCAGTCCTACAGGCCCGATAAAATGTTTTCCAATTTTTTAAAAAGTTTACTAATTTGAGAAACGTTTTTGAATTTGAAAAAGTTTCCTTATGTGAAGAAAACCGAGTAAATAGAAATGAAATAGAATGACAAGAAAGAAAACATGAGAAATGTTTTTTTAAGAAACAATGAAAAAACAAAAGGAAAAAGGAAAAAATGGAAAGGAAATACAAAGAAACAAGCTAAACCCATTCTGCTAATACCAGAGAAACAACCCCCGAGAAAACCCGATTTGAACATGTTCCACAAACTGGTGAGAAAAAAATCGCATGGGCCGGGAAGTGTACATAAGATGTGAGGACCACCTAAGGTTAAAGAATGAACCAACGCTAAGGCACCGAATAGGAATTGCGGGGAAATCCCGTACTCCAAGACTATGTCTTTAGCGCTACGCTAATAACGCAACCCCACACTATAACTCCCTCGAGCGGTATTAGAAAGATTTTGTGGACCTGTTTGAACCGACTTCAGAATCTTTTGTATTTTTTCGTCTTTTATTCCCATGTGATTTTATTTATTATTTTATTTCGTAAATGCATGACAACTTTTTTAAATGGTACGAATTTCGTATACATCTGTAATTTTTTTTGATACATTTTGATCATTTTTAAAAGACATGATGAAGATTTGTTTTCCGAATACATGTTTAATTTTTTTTGAAGAAATGTTAAGCCTTTCAAAATAGACGTTGAACATTTTTGAATTGTATGAATTGTTTTGTAATACATGACATTTTGCTACATTTTATTAACACTTTTTGAAAATCCCAGGAACATATTTTTGAAATTTGTGGGTTTTTAAATGTCAAGAAGATTTTTTAATGGTACAAAACATTTTTAGAAAAATTATGTGAACATTTACATTGTATATATATTTTCCAAAAATGTCACGGATATATTTTTGAAACACGTGAACATTTTTTTAAGATGACAATGAACATTTTTTGAATCTAGGTTGAACATTTTGTTAGTAGATGTGAAATATTTTACATATACAACTTAAACCTTTTTGTAAATACGCAATGACCATTTTTTCACATAGACGTTGAATATTTTTTTTAATACATGTTGTACATTGTTTTGAATACATGTTGAATATATATATTTTAGTGAAAGACGTTGAATATTATTTGATACACATTGAACATTTTTCAGCACATGATGTGCGTTGTTTTCAAAATACATGTTGAACATTTTTTTTCAATGCAGATTAAGCTCTTTTAATACATGCTGAACATTTTTTGAATACACGTGGAACATTTTCTTAATACATGTGAAACAATTTATGAATGATATGAACATTTGTTAAAAACTACGTGAACAAATTTTTTATACTTCCTTAGTATTTTTTAAATGCACGGTGCACGTTTGAGTTTTTTCGTCAATTAATTCTTGGAAAATATATATTTAGAATATTTCCAAAATATATAGAAACATACATTTTTTTAGTCTAGAAAAGTAGATAAAACAAAAGAAAAACGAACGAATGAAGCTAGCCCAATAGTTGCGAGATGAGGCTTCCCCTACGGCGAGAGATGCTCAAATCAGTTATTTTACTTTCACATGTAAATAAATGATTTTGCTCAAAAAGATGTAAATAAGTGATTTTTTTCCTTTTCGCTTTCCTTTTAAGTTATTTTACTTTTACATGTAAATAAGTGACTTTT